GGAAAAGTTGGCAAGTACCGGGGCATTTTGCAAACATGGACAGTACCCCGTAGGAGTATTTTGCAAAGATGACAGGTCCAACCGACGCCAGGGACATTTTGCAAAACATTTTTTTTGTGTCAGAGGGGTATTCCGCTCTACCTAGATCTTTTAGGGGCATTTTGGCATATATCTCAACTTATAGGGGTATTTTGCAAATTATCCCAAAAAAAAAAAGTACTAAACTAATGACCAAATGCCAAATACACACCAATAGGCCCACTGCAAACTCCATTAAACCTATCACACTTTGGGCGTCGCCGCACGGGACACGGAACGAAAAACGAAACGAGTGCATCTTCCTGCAGAAAATGGCCATGTTCATCGGTTTGCTATAAATAGTGACGAGTGTATTTTACCACCTTTCGCGGCCAGATGCACTCATTTCGTTTTCGTTTCGTGAGCCGTGCGGCGAGGCCCTTTGTTTGGTGAGGAGCATAGTCCCACTCACTGGTATGATAATGGTCTCCAAAACTATAGGTTAAGGGTTCGAACTTCGAACCCCTTCTTTTTCTCCTGTAACAAGCCGAGGCCTTTTCCTGTATTCTTGTATTCTTTCAATTAGTCCTGTACTACCTGCGTATGTGTGAAGGCATAGTGCGTTGACTTGCTTTGTCAATCTACGATTGTCATTCTGCAACCTGTGATACAACAGCTTTCCCCAACCTGAAATCAACGGAACCAAAGCACTGATAAGTCGGTGTACAGTGGAACCTGCTTTCCCTCATTAGTGGGATTAGACTTTGCGATAACCATTGTGTGGACAGATTGATGAATGTTCATTGTTCACCCTTCCAAATGGCAAAGCCGTGTTTGTAGGTAGATACAATGTATGTGCCTTTGGCAACGAGTTCAAAAGGGAAAGGGAAGTATGATCAGGAAGAAGAAGAAGAAGAAGAAGAAGAAGAAGAAGAAGAAGAAGAAGGCATAGGGAGGGGCTTTCCCCTTTGCGCCTACCCATTGCACAAGGTTGAAGGTGTGGCCCGAAGGTGTGTCAAACACGGCGGTACGACCGGTCATCATCTCCAAGATGACCACTCCAAAGCTGTAAACATCACTTTTCTCTGTCAGGATGCCCTCGTTCAGGTACTCCGGGGATATGTACCCTCGGGTGCCCTTAACCCCCAAAGTAGGACGAGGCCACAACAGCAACAACAACAGGAACAACAGGAACAATACACCGATTGTCAGTGAAATACAACCATGCACAAGCTGCTGATTGACTGGATGTGAAAATGCCTGCAGCCTCCTGCTCTGGTGGGAGAACAACCCTCCGCTCAATAGGTTTCATAAATTTCATTCTTTTCATTCCCCCTCCCCTTCCCCCCCTGCAATTGGCACTTCCAGAGAAGAACCCCTCCCCAGGCCCCCCTTTCGTCAATTCTCCCAGGTGCACCCCACTTCCTCAGTCCCACCTCAGTGTCTACCACTCAGGATAATCACCGCTCCACTATTTCTTGCTGGCATGACCTGACCGCACGGCAGTTGATGGCACCGGCACCTACCTGGATATCCCATCCCCCCCCAGGTTGAAGCACATGAACACGCCCTGTTCCTGGTCTAGGGGTACTCCGGATGCTATGCCTGAACCTTTTCTCTACACCCCCCCTTAGTAGACCCTCGATCCCCCCCCCGTAATTCTGTACCCAGTTTCCTTTATATCTGAACATTCTCCTCAAGTTACCTCAGGTAGTGTCTAATAGCCTAAGCCACGGGCTAACGCATGACAGCCCCTTCTGAGTAAACCTGAATATATATATAACCCCCTTCACACAGCTGTTTTTCTGTTCATTTCGTAGTTTTTATTACTTGTTGTTGTTGTTGTTGTTGTTGGTGTTGTTGGTGTTGTTGGTGTTGTTGGTGTTGTTGGTGTTAATCTATCTATGTAATCAATGTGAAATGAACCTGGCAGTTCCAAATGCACACGCACATGCCAGATGAGAGCATGCAGATGAAAGTTCACACCACACCCGAGAGACACACACAAGAATCAGCGCTTGATGAATTCCACTGAAAAAATGATATAATACAATTGGAGAGTTTGGCACAGCTGGTTTTAGTGCTGGCAATAAGGGGGATTGCTCGGACATGATTCATGTTCATTTATTGTTGTATTTACTATTTAGTTGATTATTTCAGGAAGAGGAAGGGAGACGAAGATGATATCGGATAGAAGAGAAGGAGACGACATCGGTTCAAGCTGACAAATTTCTTCTTCTTCAAAAAATAAATAAATAAATATATAAATAAATAAATAAATATTAAAAAAAAATAAAAAAAATACAATTGGACAGTTCAAGTATCCAGCGGCTATGGCTGCGACCCGACAATGCAACCCGACCACGGGTAGGTATCCAACTTCTCGCATTTCTTGTGTCGTCTATTCTGCACATTTAGGGCCTCACCGCACGGCACACGGAACGAAAAACGAAGCAATTGCATCTTCCCACAGCAAATGGAATGATTCATCCGTTTACCATAAACAGTAAGAAATGTATTTCGCCACCTTCTGTAGGAAGATGCACTCGTTTCTTTTTTTCGTTTCGTGTGCCGTGTGGTGAGGGCCATAGTCATGCAAGTCATCAAACAGAAATGATTATCTCCCACCTCTGTAATCAACTGGAATCCCCCATCCTAGTCTCCTAATCAACAATTCCMCCCCCCCCCCTTTTCCCTGTCCCTGTCATCAACTAGAATCCCTCACCCCAGTTCCCTCGTCAACAGGACCCCCCCCCTCTCCCTCCTCCCCCTCCTGAATCCCAGTCTCCTCATCAACAGGCATACCCCTCTCCCACTACATTTCATAACCATCCTACAAAGTTTCAGAAAGACTCAGCACATGGCATTGCACAGATGATGTAATAAGACAGACCTGTGTATGCCCCTAAATTTCAAGATATTGCAGCTGAGAAGGTGGCATACTTTCGGATTACGAAGAGAAGGAAGACCTGGACAATGTGTACAATGCGCCTCACTCCACTACTCAACGTTCTCAATGCGAAGTTTTGACGCCTCTCTGGACCAGGTGCATTGGGAGGAGTCCAACATTTTGAATGTGGCTGAACGATGACGAGGTCCAGATACGTACGGTATTCTGTAGCAGAGTGAGGCCCAATTTCGGCAAGGAAAGGTGGACGGGAGTATGAGGACAGGGAGAAGAAGCAGCTCAGCTAAGGAAAAGGATAATGAGGACGAGGGACCCAGAGGACGAGGCAAAAGACGTTCAGGACACACACACACACACACACACACACACACACACACACACACACAGAGAGAGAGAGAGAGAGAGAGA